TCAAAAAACATGTCCCGATACTATCATAATCGTATGAAGCACACTTATGTTGTGCATGTTAACATGTAATAAATATAATGTATTTAAAATGTTGATGTTTTACCTGATTGAGAAAACGCTGTATAGTGTAATGTGATATCAATAAAAAAAAGTGCAAAATTTATTATATAAATAGATAAAACCGACCATATTACACTATTAAGCTGTAATCTTTGTTCATTGAATGCTACAAAGTAATATCATCAAGGTTTTCTTCAAGACTGAATTTTTGGGTACTAAGAAGAATTTAAAGATACGTGTGCATGCGATTTTCACATAACTACTTATTTTGTGACATAATGTGACAACATGCGATATACATATATGGAAAAGTAATTCTTATAATTTGAACAATTGAATGTACAAAAACAATAAAAATTAAAATATCTAAATGTTTGATTTGTCTCTTATAATACACATATATATATATATATATATATATACATATAACAAGATTATACACATCCATTTCATAGAAAAGTTTTACATCAAATATAGATCTCTGAAATAATATCACTTACAAATCATAACATGTAATCATAATTTGACTAGAGTAATAAATAGTAAGAATGACGTCTATACATATATAGAAGTGCTTTTAAAAGAGTAGTTTTAACCGCTCCATTTCATATTATACAATTATTTTCAACTTATACTCTTTCCATTTATTTTAGATAATTTATCACGTGATATCTTATCAAAGAATAAAAGCCCAGCCGCACGCTCAACACTTTCTGGAGGAACCTGTAGTAAATATATTATTATTATTATTAGTTAAGCAAATATACACCTTAAATGAACAAATAAACATTACGAAAACGAAACATAAAGAACACTATTATTTCGAAGATTGATACTAAACATTTCTCGGCAAAATTAAATTTCTAATATATTTGCTTTTATCTTTTCTTATATTTTATTATTCCGTTACATAAAAGATCCTAACTTTTACGATATAAAATAATGTTAATATAGCGAATAGCGAATTTGAACAACATATACAGTCTTTATTGATAAAGAACTTAAGAAAAAATATAAAATGCTAGAGAAACTACTTCAAGTTGGTGAAGCTACCTCTTCTCCGATTTTCATGGACGTTGAATATTATAAAACTCGCTTAGTTTCCGCCATATCTAGCAAAAACTGTTGTTACTATTACGTATAAGCCGTGTCCGCAGGCTCACGCATACACGCTACCGCAACACATACGTATAAACGAAGGAATTGACCAGTTTTTCCTTAATATCTCGGAAACTAAGCAAGTGCATGTCATATATGTATAGGAAAAAGTTGTTCAAAATGTTGAGTTTTATAACATATGCAATGCCTATCAAAATTGAAGAGGAAATAGTTCTATGGTTTGACCTAAAATGTTTATATCTTTTGCAGTTTCAGAGCATAGTATATATTATTATTAATAACGTACCAGAAAATTGGTTATAGGCGCATTGTCATCTATGGGAGTATTTGGCATTACAAATGCTTCCATTTCTAATTTTAAATCGTCTGTTTCCCCAACAATTACTTTATAGAAATGAGTTGGTACTGCTACATGATTTGCTCCGATAACTTCATAACGTACATATTTCTTACCATCAGCTTCTTTCCTACATTAACATATACATAAATGTTACTTATAGAACTATCTAACAAAGTATCTATATATTCAACAAAAAAATATACTTACTTTGGCAAGTATAAAGGCCCTGTACATACATACACATTCTTATAAACTTTAGTTAAACTCCTCACATATTTTTCTAATCTATTCCATGAATCTCTATTAAAACCTCGGCCTACTTGTGGAGCCATATTTGAGAGATAGAAAGTTTGATCTATATGATTTTGATTAATTTTGTGATTTCCTGCTGCTGCTAAATGTCCACGATCGTATCCGCTTCTTTTATAGTCGGCATTATCTGATCTAATTTTTAATATTTTTTGAAACATCGATTTAATAATATTAGTTTGTAACAAATAAAAATATACTTACCTAAAGAAGGGATGTATACTGGGATCAGATTTAAATTCACATTTTTCGCGTGATATTTCACTATTGGGTTGTAATCTTTCTTTAGTTAAATGTTCGAACACCCAATGAGCTACTCTATTTCGCCTATCATAAGAAAGTACAAAATCTTCGAACGATCTAACATTGTCTAATCCAGGGAAACCATACTTCATAATCTATAAAAATTGTTAAGTTTTTCAAAACTGTTACATATAATTTTGTCAAGAAATAAGATTTTAAGTAACAATATTAGGTAACAATATAGTATATAATAAAACATACAAAAATATACACTAACTTATATTGAAAGTTTTAATAAAGTTACATAATAACTATAAATAGTTATCAATATCCGTACAACTTTGAGGTTACATGTGAAATTTAAATGTGTAATTCTGACTTACTTCAGACACTCTTGTAGCTGTTGTTGTTGATAATTTTGGACCCATTTCTGTTACACCTTCTTTAGGAACAAACGCAGTAGCTGCAGAAACTGTTCCAAATAAAGGTAAACCAGGCATTCCTTTAATGTTTATATCGGTGAAAATACCCGCTTGACATTCTTCTCCATCATTCAAATGTTTCTTTGGCTCGGAATATTTTCCAATATACCAACCACTAAATCCTACACTAGTCAGAGTACTCACATTTAAGATTACTTTTGTTAAAACCTTCATTTTTTATTCATCAACTTAAGTTAACAAAAGACGACAATAATTGTTACTTCGTCCACATTGTGCTTATCTTAGACCATATATCTCTAGTGTATATAGTAATACCTCAGGTTTTGCACGACTTTTCTGTCTCCCTTAAATTTTGTAACCGTTCCCACCATTTTACTTCGCAACCAATCCGTAGTGAATCCTGCTTCAGCATTGAATCGTCAGCCAATCAGAGCAAAGCAATTTCTACTACTATTCTCGCTAACGGAGCGCGTTGCTCGCTACATGCGATGCTGCTGCGGTTTGATCCTGGGTTAGAGTGAGACAGGTTGTACTGAATTTGAAACTGTCTCTTTCTACGAAGTGGTTTCATACTCAGCAGTAGTAAATGCTGCCTCCGAATGCAACATGCTCTAAGTTATTTCTTATCACAATGAAATAAAGAAAACGTTGTGAAATTTGAACACGAACTTTATAAATGGAAATAATCTTATTATATAGGAAAATAGATAATACAATAATTATTTAGCAATGCTATAATGACATTTTTATCTTTCATAATGAAAATTTCAGGTACCTTTTAGAAACATTACTATATGTTTAAATAAAATCAACAGTTTCAATTGGATGAAACTTAATATAACAAATTTGTAGGGACATTTGTTTAATTCACAAATAGATACAAAATTTTTATTCGCTACTACAGTCATCCGAATCTTCAGCTAGAACTATGTCATATCCGGGCAATGTTCTTGGATCAAATGTTTTCTGAAAGCATTTTTGAAATATTAAACGAGCTTTTTTAGCTGGCGGAGGTGGTGAATTTGGTATTGTTTCTAAGATGTCAGATTTATCTTGATTTCTGTTCTCTTGTCCACCTGTTTCATCATTAGTGGATTTTCTTTTTGTTATTGTGGAAAATACAGAATTCACTATATCTTTTCCACTTGTACTTGCTTTAGAATGTATAGTTGTACTGTAACTGGTTGCTGGAATATTGTGTAATATTTTTCGATTATTCTGTTCTATCGTTTTAGTATGAGATTGTTCTTGTTTATTTTGTTCTATTAGTAAATAACTTGTATTATTATAGCTTTGATTATTTTTCGTATTCCTATCAGAAACATTTAATTGCGATTTATCTCTTTCTTTACAACTATGTTCGTTCGTTTGTTTCTTCTTTTCTATTAAGTGTGCATGAGTATCTTTAACAGAAGCATTTGCTAAAGTTTTATTATTCGTGGTTGTTTTATTTTCAACTTTACTAGTAGATTTACTGGGCCTCCTAGGAGCTCGTCTATTTCCTGCTCTTCTTTTAGTAGACTTTTCCTGTCTGCCAATTACCGTTGTTTCACTCTGACTATCTATACCAGAGCTTAATGTAGAAAGCACTAAGTTTCCATCGAAGGATGCATTTTTTATTCCAAATATAACTGGTCTAGAAACGATTAATATTTATGTACTTATACGTAATTAAATACATATGTCTATTTAAATAATTGTTTCTTACTTTCCAGCTTGTTCAAAATATATGCTAATTGGAATCAGTACAGTTTCTGCAAAATTCAAGATAGCTTTGAATTCTTTCATACAAAATGTAATTGATGTATCTGTATTAATATCATATCGATCAAATTCTCCCCTTCCAAGCGCAAGCTGTGTACGTGTTGTATTTGATAAACCTGAAAAGAATTAAATATTAATGGCACACAAAACTAAAATATGTATTTGCATAATAATATAAATTACCTGAAGCATCATCTACATAATTCCTTAATAAAAGTTTTTGGGTCGAAACTTCCAATGTGATTTCAATTAAGTTTTGTTGAAAATTTAGCATCGCATCTCCTAATACACGTGCTTGAGATGAAAATTGGTTTGTCGCAGAATCTTTATCATATGCAGTCTACAAAATACAAATAACGAACACAAATAATAAAAACATAAAAATTAATAATCATGTAAAAGGAGAATACCTGCAATATTTCACAATCCAATATAGGTAACAAATGAGTTTTTATAATACTATTTTTGTACTTTAAAATAAATAGAATTTCAGATGCTTCTGGTTCCAGTCTAATGTGACATGTTTCGACTTGTTTTTCTATTAAATTTGGAGTTTTAAACACCATCATTGCGCTCTATAAAATAAAAAAAATTGAATCACCTATAAAATTAAATGGAAATTTTGTAATTTAATACTACCCTCATTGAAATTTTACATTTCAATGCATCATTTTCTTGCAAATCGCCATACACATAGTAGGAGAAATAAGTTTCGTAGAATGTAAAATCTGCATATGCAGAATTGGCCAAGTTAACAGTACGAAATGATATGGCATTGATTTGTGGTTCTATATACATTTCATCTCCAATTTTTGCCAGTGCATGTATAGCTTTTGCTAAAACTATTACACATTTCGTGTAAACACATCTCTTATTAATAAATATATTTTTCTTGATAAAATGTAATTGTAATATAACCTCAGTATTGTAAAGTAAATTTACCTCTTACATTCGCACCTGGTACAATACATTTCATGTTGAAATTTTATTATTAACTTATCTCTTTTATATTTTGCATCAAGTATTATTTAATTTAAGAAGTATTTGGAGAAGATAGTCAAAAGAATTCATAATACTTTGTTTGTACGATGGAAAACATGTGTTGAATACTTTATTTACAGTTACCTTTAACATTGAAATACTAAGTCATTTATTCATAAACATAGGGTTAGTAACACTTTATTGAAATAAGAAACATCAATGAATATAGGACACAACAAAATCGTAGACGTTTTAAATTAATATACATTATGAACGGGAACACAGAATTCATATTTTAGCGCATTGTTAGTAAAGATGGCGCAATTAGTCACTTAACCGTGATTTATCCTGTGATCGCAAATGATTACTGACGATCACGGTCGTGAATGAACGACTGTGATCGCAATATTTTTGTTTTGACTGAATTTACATTGACTGTAATTACATTTATAATTTATATTTGATCTTGAATCTCTATATTTTTAACTTCAGTGCTTTCTTCAAATAACTATTTTTTGGAGTGTTTTTTTTATATTCTTCTAAATAACCTTGACATAACCTAAAGTGGACTTGGCGGGTGCTTTTTATCAAAATCGGACAGTTGCCTTGTAGTATCATGTGTAAATCGAATGTTCATAAAATAATGTCTATTCTGTACCTCATTTGTGATACTACATGTGTAAATATATTCCCTGTGTTTAATTGTGCCATGATTTTTCGCATGACTTAAGTTTTCTGACAGAAAATCTGTAAATTCTATTCACCGAGCACTTCCTGATACTACACGAACAGAGCAGGAAGCAAAGTCTAAAGGGAAACATCTCAAATATCTTTCAACATGTTATAGTTGATTTCAATTTCGACCGTAGATCGAAAATCAAAATTATATGTTGCGTTATCTTCAAATAAATATTATCAAATATTTCAAAATTTTATGAAAAAGTATTTATTTCAATACAGTGTTTTAAATGTTACATACGTACAAGGATTCGATCTGGACAAGAATCGTTTCCGTTATTGTGAAACTGTTCGATGTTGGATCCTTGTAACAAATAATAAAACATCATGGTTAATAATAATTCAAGGGCATATATAAACTATGAGTCATTTAATAGAATTCTCTAATGTACCTGTTCTGTTTATTTTTTAGTTTTAGTAGACGATATCTTAGTTGCTATGCCACGAGGATTTCGACCGCTTTTTTTACTATTATTATGTGCTCTCCTGCCTCTAGCTGTTATTCCTCTACCTCCACCTTTTTGGGGAAGAATTTTATCTGATCTTTCCGCTTCATCTGAACTATTATCGCGACTGTCATCTTTTATCGGTTTATCAGCAAATAATGTTTGTATCTATAAAGTAGTATATGATTATCCAACTGTGTAAGAACTAATAATATATTCTATTAAAATGTGTTTGTTTGTAAGTATATACTTCTATGTCTTCTTCTTCTGCTTTCTCCTTTCTTTTCTCAAGATAACTTTTAATTCCTTCCTTTATACTTTCTTCAGATTCAGTAACTTCACTAGCTTCCAAATGTGAAACAATATTTTTTATTTGATGGCTATATGTACAGAATCAATAGTAACAATATAATCGAGCTTATAATGGCCAAACAATTTCTTAAAATATTTCACTGTAAATGCTTTACCTTACTAAGTTTTTGAAAGCATCAGTATCACCTTTGTTAATAAATTGAGCTAATGCTTTATTTAGACCATCCACTGTTACTACTGTTAATAAATCTTTATTTTCTTCCAAATTAAAATATTTTTTTAGTTCTCCTTCTGCGGTTTTGTTCCATTCGTGATTCTCCTAATTGAAAAATCAAACAAATTTTATCATCGAGCCCTTATAAAATATTTCAATTTTTGTTTACCTCGGTGTAGTCAAAAATGTCAGCCATATTCTGACAATCGTCACTAATATTGTCGAACTTAGATGGCGATGATCTTTTACCCGTGCTTCTATCTTTACGGAAGACAACCATTTCGAAAGGATTAGCAACTTCCTCACAATATTTTTGTGCCAACCTAAAATGCGCACATTATTTACTTCCGTTTGTTACTTGTATTCGCTAATATACTAATGGAATCTTACCTAATTGTATCAAATGTTTCCTCATCTTTAGTATGAAATATTCTCAATAGAATTAATGGTACTACTGGTTGCTTTGGATGGCCAGACAGTTGCTCTGATGCTTTAGGTATTATCTCATTTTCTATGTAATTGTCGACGTAATTAAACACAGATTCCGAAAGTGACACATCGTGATCATTTTGTATCTTCTCATCAGCAAGGATCAAATTGTCAAACACAAAAGGTCTGACAGTTTTTAGTTTTAATCTTTTCATTTTAAACTTCTTACCATTTATGCTCAACAGACCAACGTGTTTAGCCTTTGCCTCACCTTCGCACAAGGAAGTTGCAATAGAGCTACCTGTAAGAGCATTTCTTAAGCAATAGTTTTATAGTTTCCATGTATCATAATTAATAAATAAATCTAAAAATATACCTGGTTGACAAATGAAGTATTCTCTTTCAGAGAAAAATTCTGGTGTAATACGACATTCATGTTCATGTCCCCATATGATGAAATCAAGGAAATCAGGAAGTTTTGTTTCAGAAATATGTCCATGTTCAAGATGTGATGCACGATTTTGGTGTAAAATGAACAGATTAAAACAATCTAACATATCTGAACTTAACAAATCCACCTTCGAGTGAAAATCACTTGTATTAAAAAAAAGAAAGGGTCGCCAAATATACATACATGTCTCACAAGTTCACCTTAAAATCCTTCAGCATCCGTAATAACTTTTTGTCATTTATGTGGCCTAAGCCATAAACTGCGACACAGGTATTACCCTTTTTGAATGCCAATGGAGTAATGCCGACGTGAGTGAGATCTGTGTATTTGCCAAAATAATTTATAAGGCCAGAGGCAGATAACAGGTCCATTGATCCAACTACTCCAAAGCCTATAATTTTAATTACAGTTACTAATATCCGAGACAATATTGAGGGAATACTGTACTTAAACCAATAATATTATATTTCTTACTTGGTTCATCGTGATTTCCATGAATGGAAAATATTGGCATGCTAACATTAAAATTTGGATCCTCATAATTTACAGTTTTACGAGCACAGTGTTGGAATACTACTTCTGGCTCAGACAAAAATTGAATATCAAGTTCTCTAGTGAGAAGACAATAATTAATATTTATAGTACTTCAAATTCCATCTTGTATAAACATATTTTACCAACCTGGAACCTAAACAGTATCTTTTTAACAAATCTATACATTTTAACATGATCGATTGTGATGGTTTCGCATCATGAAATAAATTTCCACCAAGAAGTACAAAGTCAACTTCATGTTCTACGCCGTATTGAAGTATTTCTTCGAAAGTATTAAAGCTGTCATCTGATTCTTGTTCTTGTATAAATTAATTATTTTTAGTATACCTGAGTACATTTCATGACAACCGGGCCCAAAGAAACTAGCAATTTGTTTTACAATTCCTTGATTGAAAATCTTACAAGGAGAGTACAAGGCCACTGACGGGCACAATCGATAGTTGTTTAAGTATTTACAATTAAAGATTCAGTGGAGGATCTTCATTTAACTGCTTGTTAAATGCTCCAGTAACTTACCATAACTTTGGCTTATTACCTACATGCCAGAGTTCAATGGTAAATCAGTGTTCTGATCCCAGTAATAAAAAGATACTTCTTTCTTAATTTTGTATAAATTTCTCACCCAAAAAAGGACATTATAGATTTTAAATAAATTGTAAATAAAATATCTTCAATTACTATAGAACTTATTAGCTAATACAAAAAATACTGATTTTATCAGTATTGCAACCTAGGCTGTCTTTTTGTTTCCCAATCGCGCTAATTAAGCTTCCAAAAAAAAAAGAAAAAGATACATATTCTTTTTATATGGCCGAGATCATAACTCAGGGTTTACAGCATATGAACATTGGCACGTGGTCACCACGAAATTTTTATAAACAAGAAGAATATATGAATATAAATATATAAAATATAATAAATATAAAAAATATAAACTAAATCGATAACCCAAATGTCTTGCACTTCCCTTGTTAATTATAATTGTAGACTATTAATTATAATTATAATTGTAAGACTATTTAAATTAAATTAGAAATGAAAGATAATTTCTGGAAAAGTATTCGAAGACAAACCTCCTTTCTTATTGAAATTATAACCGAGATGAATATCGGTTGCAACTAAAATTTTGAGTGTATCTTTCGGATTAAGTTCTTCACTACGCCATGATTCGGACATTTTACATTTGATTATGTAAAATACCTACGAAAATACAAATTACAGTAATCTAAACCTCAAGCAGAACTTTCAGATTATTCAAACAGTTCCAAATGGTTTCAAATGATTGACTGTTACGACTTTTTTTCCAGAAAGGTAAGAGGGGGAGAACTATCCGTCACGAATGGGATTGAATAATCTCATTCGTGAGACCTCCGTCACTTGAAACCGATTCCAAGCAAAATCCCCGACACCACTGGACACACTCGATCCCGCCAAAATTTGTGTACACAGCAAGGATTCCATTGGCAATCCATTGAAATCGCCCAATCCCATTCGCGAAGTATCCGTCATTTGAAACAGATTCCAAGCAGAATCCCTGACACCTGGAACGCCTGACTTCAAGCTTGCAAAACTTTCCGGCCGCAGCGCACATTATTAATTAAGACAAGATTCACTGCGGATTGGATGAATGATAGGGATGCTTGCGAATGCTGAGAGAGGTAGAAAAATTGTGCGAAACTCGAGGTATTATTGTATTACACTCAGAGCGTTGCTCTAAGCTGTGTAATGGCGCTGGGGAATCTGGATCGCCGCCATCTTAATAATCTCCACCATTACGATTGCGCGCTTTATTCGAATAAGAAATAATATGAGAACCAGTATAGTAGTCACAGCGATAAAGATATACCTAGCCAGCGAAATATATTATTATTAATATATTAATTATTATATTATTATTATATTAATGTTAAGATTAGTCAGTCATTATTCGAGTAAGGAATACAATTGGAAAGAAATTTCAGCCGTGAACAGTAAAGAAGCGGAAATACTTCAAATGGAACCAGGACTTCCTAACTTCCAGGACCAGGACTTCACGTATCTAATTAGTATATGCATAGTTATGTATAATATCAATGCAGCTTTTTAATAATATATAAATATAAATAATCATTGCGTCGCTTGTGACGCTCTCTCTCTCTCTGGTAAATAGATTACTTTAATATCTTAGAAATACACTATACAGTTATTATATATATGTATAATAATGTATTTTTCTTACATAGTCACAGCGATAATGCAATAAAATGAATTACAAAATAAATATTAAATAAATAAATGTAATAAAAATTATATCGTGTTTTATTTTATTTTAATCAGAAATATTTGTCCAAACTATATCTTGGTTGGTTTTATTTTAATCAGAAAACTATCAGCAATATGTTAAAAAAAACACTTTTAAAATGTGAAAATTAAACAAAGTTATGTCATTGTATTGTAAATTGTCTTCCAGGAGCAGTCAAAGGAGCCATGTATTCACTAATTCCGTTGATTATGCTTTCATCGAAGGCACAGTTGTGTTACTAGTTTGTAGCTTGTGATACTTGTTGTTCCGCTGAATTGATCTTCTGCGAACACTATCTTCATAACAATTCCTTCTAAATGTTCTACTGCACTGAACAAAGGAGAGTAAAATAGGAAAATGACGAGCTCATCATCTGGAACAAAAACTTGTTGAATCTGGCGTTAAGGGTTGGTCTTAATAGCATACATGGGTACTCAACGTTCATAGTACAAGCAGAGAGAGGCTGAGCATACGTCATCATGTAAGTTGAGACTATTAGAATAAAATTATTTCACAGATGTGGGCTTTGCGTTCCCGAGGAAAACGAGCTTCAAAGTTCATAATAGTGAGAACAGAACACATTTTCAACACCCAAAAAGTACGATAATAATGTGTTTTGATTCTTTTACCATGCCAACAAATTGCAATTTTTGAAAATAATTGTTTAGCTATTGTCTAGTGAACTAATCACTCTAACATCCCCAAAGAGTTCAGACCGCTTGGCCCAATTATAATAATGTTATCCTCTTTTAAAAAGTGTTCGAATACTTTCTACACACTCACTCACATTATATATACAATATATAATATATAATATAATAATACAATATATAATATTGTTTAATATTATATATTTATATAGATATAGTATATATTATACATACAATATTATAAATACATATATTCCACAATTATTTTAACAGCCGAAAATGAGGGGTAGCTGAGGTCATTTGAAGTAACTTTTTCCTTTGTGAAAATGCAATCTGCGACTTTGTTTGTAACGAAAAACAGTGACCAATGCGAGGCGAGTGCGCGAATTACAAGGTTATGTCGATCGATCGAGTGCAACGTGCTTCGAGCGTGGAGCGTGACAGAAGAAGGGGAGCTCCGAGCTGCGTTCGAATCAATGAACAAGTCACGGAGCGTGAATTCGAAAAAACACGTTTCTCTTATTCTTCGACATATTTTCGTTCTCTTTCTGGCTGTATCATGAATATTGTGACATCCTGTATGCACGTTACATGTTCGTTATATGCGATCGATTACCATCGTGAATCCTTCGTAACAGGGAGTGAATAACCCGGCAAGATTAAATTCTACCGCCGTCTGAGATTTTATCAGCGCGATTAACACCATCTTTTGCATCTTTGGCGGTATCCGATACCACAATGAATTGTATCTAATTCATTCAACATTGTCGACGCATTATTTTCTTATTACATGTATCTTACCATACTGACAGTGGCTTATCGTTCATAATATTGGCTTATTATCGGTCATTTATTTATTATTTCGTATTAAACTCATTAAATGCAAAACACATATACTGTGAATGAAATTGACTCGATTTTATGTCCATTGTTTTTCTTGTGCGATATATATTTGGTAGAAGAATGCGAACTTACGTTTCTTGGTACAATTTGATACTGTTGTCTAGCAGTATTTGCCCGCTGTAATTATTCCCGCATATAAACGCCAAATATGCTAATACGAAGTACGAGGTGATCAATATTTCATCGTATTCTCCCTCCTCAGTGATATATATGTAGAGCTACGACAATTGTACAGCAGTTTTGATAAGGATGTAATAATAATGTAATAATGTAATAATAAGAATAATATATATAAGATAAGAATGTAAATACAATAATGTACAATAATTACAATAAGAATGTAAACACAATAATGTACAATAATTGCAATAAGAATGTAATAATGTAATAATAATTACAATAAGAATGTAATAATAATAATGTCAATTCGCATAATCAATTTTTGTAATACTTACACGATATATGTGTACACCGAACGCGACAACAACAACTATCATTATCATTAAAGAGGTTAGCATCACATCGTCCGTATACTTTTTCGAGTGTCTTCGTTCGCATATTATTATTGTCCCGATGTATCGTCGATCGAATGATGCGAAATGAATAAAACACGTACAAAAAGATATGTAGTGCAACGTGCATCAGTTATACTTGGATATTTGAATATTATCTGAGTAAAGGTACTAACTGAATAGCTCGAAGATGTATTTCCACAACGGGTCGTAGGTCTATGACATTTATTGTATCTGAATTTGCCACTTTGTTTACTGCGGTTCGCATTCGGTAACTGGAAAGCGGAAAAATATATTGGCGCTGTTGAAATAACGAAATAACTATACAAGCATCAGATTGCGTGTAAATGCTAGGCCAAAGCTGGTCAACAGCTTACCCGTGTACGAACAGCGATTTACAGTAATGTCTCCCTAACTGACGCTCAGTCGTACTCTCTAATTGACGCCCAGATTGACCACAAAAATGGACAATTTGGGAAGTGGACATAAGATTATTCGAGCTTTGCGGTTTATTTTTATAGTTATAAATTGTCCACAATTATAAAAACGAGCCGCAAGGCTCGAATAATCGTATCTCCTCTTCCCAAGTGATCCATTTTAGTGGACAATCTGAGCGTCAGTAAGGGAGACATTACTGTACTGATGGTTATGTCAACGTTAACGCATTGTCATGGTTATAACGAGTTGTTCATATGCGCCATTGACATTCTAAATTAATGAAGAATCTTTTTAACACAAGTTCTCAGTTTATAAGACTCAGAGGATTGTCAGTTCAAAAAACGGAGGTTACTTTTACAATGTCGTTGTCATAAAATAAAACATTTTCTCCTCTACTTTAAGCTGGTATATTTATAATTTCACAAATAACGCGTTTCCATGAATACTGCTTGTTCTTGATCTACCATTTGTATTTTATCTTTCAAAGGCATGACGCTGCCATTAGCATTGACGTATGCATAGGACGTTAGAAAATGATATGCCACGACCGTTGTAGCGAGATTCTACACTTTTGAATCGACGGTGATTTCATGGATTCCGCGACAAAAAGATAGCATATTCTAAAACAGACAGTACATATATACTTATATAATAGGGTTTAAGTGGCAGGGCTGATTGTGTCACTGTGGAAAAATCGACGAAATGGATTTAAACGTACGTAGCAATTTCCAACAGCCCGCTAAAATAGGTGGCGCAAACGCTAATGGTTCCTTCCGTACACGATACCGTTAGCAAACCATACGATACCGCCACTATGATGCTCCAGCAAGAGAGATCACTTTGCGAGCTTCTGTCAGTGTAAAAGAATCCCAAGAGACGTAGAAGGCGAAGCTGAATATCCGTTTCGAAAAACGTCGGCAGTCCCAGACTTATAAATAGACACACTATTCCCGCGCATGTCATAACTAAAATCCAGAATGTTGCTATATCAACAATGATTTCTTATATAAATATTTTCTAACAACAACGCAACAGGTATTCGACGTATGGTAGCACGAGTATGTAGAGCGAGTCGGCAGGCGCTCTGCCCTTGCAGCCAATGCCGCGTCGCGCTGGCCGTCTGACGCAGCGGCAGTGGTCGCGAGGGCGGGGCGTCAGTCGTACGCGATCTCTCATTGGTCAGCGTTTTTCTATAATAACTCGTTAACGATGCCTCGGAGAACATTTTTGTAAAGAAGAAAGTTCCTTCGAATGATCTCAGGAACCCCACATTTCCCGGAAATAATATAATTTTGGGACACCCTGTATATATATATATATTATAAATTCTTCGACAGTCTTTACCGAAATATGCCTGTATTATGTGTTTCGCTGTTACTAAATCTTTCATCAACAGCTCCAGTTCGATAGAATTTTTCAGTGCAACGTAATCTTCCTCCATACTATCGAATACGTATCTTATCTGAAACCGCGTGCAACAAAAAATAATACAATTATTGAGATCATGCTCAATATTACAGATACAACATAGTTTGAGTAACGTTCATTCAATTCGAGTAACGTTAATGTTAATGTCAATGTTAATTCAATAGAATGGAAATAAGAGCGACGTGTTCCACTAACTCACCGACGGGAATGTTATGATAGTGGTGAAGTATCGTGATATATACAGGAATAACGTACATCCGAACGATATCTGTGTAATTATTTCGTTCAGCGTAATTTTTGTGTTCCCTATCGTCGACAGCTGAAAAATATTCCATCGATTTTTAAAAATATTCTCGCTGACAGTCCGTTTCCTTGAACAAAAACAAATATAAAAAACATGTGAAAAAGTTACTTCAAATAACCTCGCGGACCCCTCAGTTCCCAGAAATACAATAATTTTAGGACACCCTGTACATATATATTGCTAGCATCATTTTCGATAATTAAACTTTGATCTGTATCATTCTATGGAATGTTATCTCGTGTGGTTGATTTTCTAACGATTTTTTAACGCACAGAAAGTAATGTTCACGACATTTCCACCGTTAATAAATTATATTGTTTTTATCCAGCGTGGCTTTCGCACCGAAGGAGCTATGATATTGTATGCTGTGCTATCGATAAAATTTTTAAATGATCACGTTTCGGATTCACTTGATCGTACAACGTTAAATATTTCTCACTTTTCGAGCACGATTAGGGGAATGACACTTTACGGAAGCATTTCACTGCGATTCAGATCTTTTGTCACCTGGTTTGCTATACAGCCGCATAGTATCAGCATAATGGCGAGTCTGTATATCTTTATTACGACAGAATTGTTGTAGGGCCAGAGCCCGGTGAAGCACAATAGAGAATAGTAGATTTTAAGGTTCCCTCGAAACACTTCCATCTCACTCGATTCCGTCGAACGTCTGTCCGAACAATCTGCGGCATCGTCCAACTACGTCTTGTCACGTTATTTTATTTACCCTGTCTTACCATTATCTCAATCATCCCTCGGCTCGCTTGTCCTTTGAAATTGATTGTAATTTGCTCGAATTGCGTAGTACCGTCTCTCGATCGATCGTTACGATTTGCGGGCCGAAGGAGACGTTCAGAAACATGCGAAACAGTCAATTCTGGAAATGACGCGATTGCTATGAATCTTCTAGAATTTCTTTCTTTCGGTTCGCTGTCTGTTTGGAAAGCGAAGGATACAAGAAGTTTTTTTGCCTTCTTGCCGGTATCGATAGTAATTCGCTCGGATTATAGTGTTCCGACACGAATCGATCAATTTGATTATCTTCACAATTTTCTTTCTTTGCTATGCTCTCGCGGACAAAAAAGATACGCGAAGTTTTCTTTGCGGTTTCTCACGTAACTGTGGTCACGTCGTGCGATCTTGTGTTTTCGTAAAAATGAACGGTATTTCTTTCTGTATAAATAATAACCAAGTGAATAGGATGGATCGAATAAGAAATAATATTTTTGTTTTATATAGAGTGACTCGTTTCTGATTGCTGGGAAATTCTCTGTGCTATTGCAATATGCGGCTCTGTGATTTATTGCCGGCAGGCAACTCGTAATACAATGATATAACTTTTTTAGTTTTAACATTTTGAAACTTTGAAGTTTTTTTAACGTATTGCTGATATTTTTCTGATTAAAATGAGACCAAACATGATACAGTTTGGACAAATATTTCTGATTAATTAATTTTATTTATTTAATATTTATTGTGTAATTCATTTTATTCTTCAACTCGAAGAATCACGATTCTTATGTACTTATTGCGGGCAAAATTTTGGTCCAACCTTACACACGATCTAAAAAGGTATACAAGATTTTTGTAATAATTAATATAAATATTCTAAACAAAACGTTCTCGGTTCCAATTCCGACCCGACGACATTTAGGGAGAAATGAATGTAATTAACTCGTCTATTTCGTTTGTCGGAGACCTTAAGAAAGAGGTTTTGTATAAAAATATTAATTTCTAGTTTAAATAAGAATATCCATCGCTTAAAATATCGTGTCATTTAAAATAATTTTAGCTTCAATAAGATATCGTATTATCTATATTAGCCTTGATTAACCCTTTCCACAATAATAATTGTGATATATTTTTGTGTATTATTATCAATAAACAAAGTTTAATAAAATCTCCTTCGAGAGTTCCTAGAAATAATAGGATAAATGTTGTTGTTCACGTAATTCTGTTCACCTGCACGTCGTTCAAACAAAAATTCGTACAAAAAGCTACGCGATAGCAGATGACGCATCGTACGAATTGCATATGCAATTTTGCATATGCAAACTGCACATTTCAGCTCATGTTATTTACAAACCGCGTTGCCCGATAAATTTAGCATACACGTTTTCGTGTTTAATAATGTTTCTAACGAGAGAAAAAATTCAAATTATTTTCAAAGACGATAGCGGCAGAAATTTTTATATAAACAAAAAATGTTTATCGTTTTAATAATGTCATCTTATTAATATTTATAATAATATAATATGTTATATTAATATTTATCATCAATATAATATGATATATTATATTAGTATATTAGTAATATAATATGATATATTATATATGATATAATATATTAGTATATTAATATTTATCATTATATATTATATTGATCATTAATATAATTATAATTAATATTTGTAGAATATTTATCATTAATAGAATATTTACCATATACAAACGTAATTCTAACTTTGGCAGGGATAGATAAAAAATGTTCAAAATCTGTCATTAAAATCGTGAACGAAGCTTCTCCTTTCTATTCCAACTAGGAATAGAGAAAAGATTCGGAAGAAGAAGGTGAAGGGAGAGAGGAGAAAGTAAACGAAGGAAAAGAAAGGGAAGAAGTGGGGCGGTTGAGGTAAGAAAGGGAGTAAAAAAGACGCTGTGAAGTAATCTAGAGAAACAGCTGGAAGGAAAAAAAAGTACTAGGAAAAAGAAGGGAAAGGGAAGAAGGGGGGCCAGATTAAAAATGTAATTAAAAAAAGGTACTGCGAAGAGAATACGAAAAACGTTGGATAATTACGGAAGTATTTCTGGGGAGTTATCAAGGTTGGACTTTCAATTAATTACGTAATCGTACACCGATGACGCTTCTGTACTTGATAGAGCGCAGATGGAGGCGAAGATTACGCCGTAGACATAATACCTTTATTTACACTAATAAATTGCGCTTATATTTCATTAAATTGCCTCGATTGATCGTCGCCACGACATAGTTATTAGTTAACCTTGAATTCTCCGACAAAGAAACGAACGTAAGAAGAACGCACGTTTCAGATTCATTTAAAATCTCAATTCCTCGGCGACAATGTTATTTAATATTCTATTGGTGGCGTAGAAGCGACGATGAGTAATCGGTGCGTTAAAAAGTTGATAAAAACCAGCGGCTATTAGTACCACGCCTAACTTTATCGATAATTCATGCAGAATCAATAAATATCGAGTACACTTTGAACAGCAAACATAAGTCACGTATCGATCTAAATATTATACGTACGTGTGTATAGAAATGTACATGCAAAAGCAAATTCAAAAAAAGAAAATTTATTATACACTCAAGTTATTTTTTCTAGTATCTGATCAACGATTCCCAAAATATTTAGCAATCGTGATTTGATAGAAGAACGAGCAAATGAAATTAAACACTGTGTGAAAAACACTTGAAGAATTTCAAGACGTTGTTGTATCAACTTTGGCTTGTTAAAATCATTAAAAAAAAAGAGATAAAGGTTTATCTACTTCCCGCATCTTGCAATCAAAGAGGCAAAAAGCTTCTATGTCATGCATAACAATCCGCAAGCCATTTGTTTACTAATAAGCATTTTTCTTACTTAAGCATATGTATATAAGATATATATTTATCTCTTTATATATATATATAATCAGGCAATTTAGCTAAAAGCGAAGAAGAGAGAGAGAGAGAGATAGTTCAACATTTACTATATTCGAACGTAATCTTTTCAAAGTAATCGTCCACATTTTACACAACAACAATCTAAATCGCCGAACATTTCAGTCGTACTAGCTCGACCTGTGAATTACATAAAAAAGGATTCGCATCGTTAAGCAGTTAAAATATATTGTTCCTCTGTGTCACGTAATCGCAGCGCACCGCCAGAGAAATACAAAGAAAACTACAGAAAAATGTATAACATCGCCGAGCATTGTCTACGGATGTAATGATCGCCACGTGATCCCCGTAAATTCCGAAAACTATTAGAACCGCTAGGAAATTGCCGCGTCCATACATGGAAGATGACAAGGTAAAAAATCAGATCCTACGAGAGAATAAATTGGCTCGTGTTACACGGAATCCGGACGTCAGGAGCGCGGCTTCCAAGGAATCAATCGTCGCTCCCTGTACGCTCCATTCCGGCCGGTTCGGTTCACGAAGCATTTGTTCGCGATCAAATTAATAATCTCGCGCGTTAAATTCGCCGTCGAGACGAATTTCATAAAGAAACACGCGCGCGCCGGAACTCGTCCGTTGGAAAAAGGACAGCCGGCGTGTTCGTTCGGTAGTTTTGGACAACTGGTTGCCGGATCGGGTGCCTCAGTCCACGATTTCGCTCCACCGGCAAGCATGCGGCTCCTGTGGCTAATGTAAGCGAATTAGTGAACAGTGAATTAGCGTTCGATACGTGCAGTGCTATACACGCTTACCTTGATATAGCGTCGGCAACATTTCAAGAAGTTCGAGCGCGAGCGATACGAACTCGTGTCATTTTCCCCGAAAGTTTCAGCCGTAACATCACGGACACGTTGCGCGTTAAAACAGCGCGAACGTACTTAAAAAACGAGGCCTGCCGAGGCTAGACAATGATTCGCTATTTTCCTGAACTCTGACACTCGAATCCGCGGCACACGCGCGCCAAGAATTATTTATGAATCTGCCGGCTTTTTCTCCGTAGATGTCACCTAACAGTCGCGACCTCGTTCCCAATACAGTTGCCGGTCACCAAAATCTTCAGGATACTGGAGGACACGGTGAACGACACGGAATCGGTGCTCGATCGCGACCACCATGGGAAACGGGAGCACAGAGTTTGCGAGACGGTGTACTGCAACGAGATCGGTGCGTTTTACCAGCACGCAAACAACGTTTATATAAAATCGTGATTTTCTCTCGTACGCACCTGTGTATGCATTATGTAACCGGTCGTTCGTGTCGCGTGCAAGATGCGAGTACGTTATCGGCCACGATAAAAAGAAACGAATTCGATGATGGCGTCTCTTTCTTTTCAACGGAATCTCGAGCGTGCTGTGCGAGAATGCGAGTGATGCGGAACCTGGAACAGTAATGAGAAATTGTTAGAAATCGCGACGGAGATTTCGTCTCTGAACTGTGATGATCGTTACCATGATTACGTGACGATGCTAAAGGTGAAAACGAACTCGATGATCAAATGAATTCTGTTGACGACGTTTCTGAAAAAGTCTTGGTCATTAACGAACTTGATAAGAATGAAATTAATCAAATAAATGCTTGGCAAACGGCCAAAATGTTATATATGTTATATAATATATAATGTTATATATGTATGTTATTTATTATTTTACGATATTATAATATATAAAATAATATATAATTATAATATAATATAATGTAATATATATAATATAATAATAATTAAATAATAATATATATAACATAATATATAATGTTATATATGTATGTTATTTATTATTTTACGATATTATAATATATAAAATAATATATAATTATAATATAATATAATGTAATATATATAATATAATAATAATTAAATAATAATATATATAACATAATATATAATGTTATATATGTATGTTATTTATTATTTTACGATATTTTTGTCCAATTTAATACCTCGAAAATTTGACTTTTTCACCTCGGGCGGAACACTGTGCAACGGAATAAACATTTAAACGTATTTAAACTATGTCTAAATATAGCGAGACGCCTCGGATTCATTAATTTTCTCGTGAATATTTTTCTGCGGATTTCAATTAAAATGTAATTATGATACTTACTAAGGTATACAAAATTTAGCTTTTTTTTAGGTACTAAGACTATAGAGATGCTAAATTAAAATAAACTTATAAATAATTTTCTACAAGGAATGAATTTAATCAAGAAATTCATTCACGCGTTTATATACTGTATCAAACATCGACTAAAGTCTCGATTTCCGAGATCTTTACAGTCTCATACATCTATTACAATTCCATAATATTGATTTAACGAATAATTATGTCAATTACCATTCGTTCTCCTTTTCATTTCCATAACAGCTAGGAAACTACTTCAAAGTATGGACCCAACGGTGGATCCTTGCGAGGATTTTCACGAATACAGTTGCGGTTCGTGGCATAAACACAATCCTATACCGGATAACGAAGTGGAATGGTCCGAGGACCAGGTCATCATGGCAAAAACGTACAAACGTATCAAAGGCAAGAACAAGATCCTCGTTTTTAACGTATTGTTTATCTTATTCCCGATCTTTATTTTCTACTTATCGTTTTCTACCTATCACATTTTCTACCTATAATAGAGGGTGTCACAAAATTATTGTACAAGCGAGCAATGAGCGGTTCCTGAGACGATTTGAAGTAACTTTCTCCTTAGCGAAAATGCAATCCGCGACTTCGTTAACAAGTTATTAAGGAAAAACAACGACCAATGAGAGGCGAGTTGGAGGGGCGCTCAGCCCTTGCGGCCAATGCCGCGTCGCGCTGGCCGTCTGACGCAGCGGCAGTGGTCGCGAGGGCGGCGCGTCAGTCGTACGCGATCCCTCATTGGTCAGTGTTTTTCGTTAATAACTCGTAGACGAAGCCGTGGATTGCATTTTCGCTAAGGAAAAAGTTACTTCAAATGACCTCAGGAAATTGGTTCCTTCAAGTCGTTTACAATGCACGCGATTAATTATTTCTGCATTTTCTCTTTCAAGATGTCCTCGAGGAGCCAGATAAATCCACCGATATCCCGCCGGTTAAAATGGCGAGGAAACTTTATCGTTCTTGTATGAACGTAGGTAAAGTAGATACTGATTAATTTTACGTGGGATTTGTACGATTTAAAACAATTGAAAAAGTGATCGCTACGACATACTTTAAATCTATACTTTCGATATTATTAATTGAATTATTTTGATTTTTATCAGGTTTTTTGTGACGTTCGAAACAACGTTCTAAATTCGTAAAAAATGTTCACATTTGTCTAGTTTTAACAGGAAGATTCAACGATATTCTATAGAGCCTTAATTATAAATTTGATGAATTAATAAATTCCGTTCAAATTTGTTTTTCCGTTTATATTCTTAATTTTTGAATAATGTACTTACCGTATCGAATAATAACTATGCCATAAAACTTTAAAACGTCAATAATTATACACAGAAATGACAAAAAATGCGAACAAATTTTTTCTTAAATAGTCATATATTGCAGTTGTTTTAAAGTTATACTATTACATATTACATATTACAAATTACATATTATATATATTTTATATTACATATTATATATTATTATATATTATATATGCTATTATCCACGATCGATTCATTATTTCATTACATCATTATAATTGTATTTAATTTTTAATCAGATATTGTTTTATAATGTTCCATCAGATGCTATCGAAAGAAGGGGTATTAAGCCAATTCAAGACATCCTCGATTCTACTGGTGGATGGCCTATGGCAATGCCATTGAAAGCATGGAACTCTCACAAATTCCCTTGGCAAAGGGTTGACAGGAATCATATGGTATTGATCGGCAATAGTGCTTTCTACAACATCGAGTATGAAGTTGATCAAGAGGACACAAAACGATACGTCCTGACGGTAAGTTATCTCTCTTTTCCGTTTACTCAATAAAGTTCATAAGAGAACCATTGTATGTATACGTAATCGCAACGATAAATTGAAATACTTCTACAGGGTGTCCCATTTTAGCTGCGACTACATATCAATTATTTGCAGACGTGAAAATATTTGTAATGTTTGCTAAAGGCAAATACTTAATTATCATGTTATAATAAAATGTTTTAACACTATTTTTCACCGATATATTCTATCACACAATTTATCGAATTAATTTTGTGATTGCAACAGCAAAAGTCGTGAAGTCATTACATAGACAACACAGGACACAGGGATTAATTTTTATAAGAAATTATTAATACATGTTCTTTAACCACTTCGGTAAAAATAGTGTTAAACAGAAATTATTAAAAGGTGTCTATCGCGACATCTTCGTTAAGAAATACCGTTAAAATAGCTTGTCGTTTCATAATGTTGCAGATAGACCAGGACACAGAGTACCCTCTATCGTCTAAGAAAGACGTGGTTAAAGTATTCAACGACAATGACACATACGCGTTAGGCATCTATCGTATAATTCAAATTTTTGCACGGGACAAAGGATATCACGTGCACCAGAATCAAATAATAAACGACGTAGCGGAAATGGTGTCCTTCGAGATCGATTTGCTAAATGTAATGATCCTTTCTTATCGTACGTACCGTGTAGATTGTTCCAGTAAATCTACAGGGTGCTGGGAAATTTCTACACCTTTGAATCGGTGGAGAATTCGTAAAAAAAGTTGCCGCAAAATTCGTTCTGAATATGATATTCAAGTTGAAATTGTTTCAGCACTGCATCGTGTTAATACTCGTCGGGAGAAACGATCGTCTCAGAGGAATAAAAAATCAACAGTTCTCGTAGAAAATAATAACAACACTCGCATTAATAACAGTCACAATAGTAACAGTGCCAAGGTTAGGCTCACCTGCCGCTTGTGCTTAAATACAATGTAAATACAACATGACAAGGTTATGCACGGCATAACCTTACTGCACGGCACGATGTTCATCCGGTAAATGCTCCGCGTTGCTGTGCAGTACTCTCGCGCATGCGTCGCCTATCCCCACTCCTTGCACAGTGACTTTTCGTGACTGCACCGGTGGGGCAGCTCGACTTGGCATAAACAGAAAATCTGGTGCCGTGTCGACACGGCAATTATATGTAGCAATTATAAATATATTATATATATTATATTATATTATATATATTATAATATATTATATATATTATATTATATTATATATATTATAATATATTATATATATTATATTATATTATATATATTATAATATATTATATATATTATATTATATTATATATATTATAATATATTATATATATTATATTACTGTATAAAATACTACTGTGATTTTGCTATTGTCTTTTACGCGACTGTTCAGTTTTGGCCCATGGTTTTCCTTTGACAGTTTCTATCCCCATGACGCGTAGAATACAATGCAATAAACCAAATTTTAACCTTGGAAAATCATGGTCGAGGACAATTTTGCGGCAACCTTTTTTTTTACAGACCTTCATCGATCTCCAAACGTATAGAATTCTCCTGTTACCAAACATTATTGAAACACAACATTTTTTACACATCCTGTGCATAATGGAGAAATGGGAATTTTATAGATTATCGAAACGGATAAAGAATCACACGCAGCCGAGGACGACTACAAAAGAATGACTATCGACGAGCTGCAAAAATGGTACAACAGTTCTGGCGTGAAATCTCCTACGGCTAGAGTAATTATCTATATACCTTGATTGTTAAAACATTTCCGGCATCATTTTATTACAAGGTTATAAAATTAGAAAATTTTATGTAAGCATTTTCAATAGATTTTTGTGCATTTTTCATATTTATCTGTGAACAAAAATTGTTCAATTCTCGCGTGTGATTTCCGAGGAAATCAATTTTGAAAGAGAAGACTTGAGCGGAAGACTTGAAAGATTTGAAGACGTTCCATGATTTACCATCGCATAAAGTTGATACATATACTTTGACGCGCATAATAGTATTCTGTGGACACAGCTGAACAAGATAACATAATTTTCTGTCATATATTTCGAGTCCGGAAACGTGTTCAAATAATGATAGAATCGAAAAAGATAACGAAAATGTGCCAATTTTTGGTGGGTATTTTTTAATTTAGTTAAGAAACTGAACGTGCAGGAAAAATCGAATGATTTCAAACGGTAGACCGATGCTTTGACCTGCAATTCGAGTTGTCAGAAGCTGCAATTCACTTCTCGGTTTCGTAACACAAAATTGTTGAACAAAATTGTTTCGCGTAACGCGTCGCGTCTTTTCAATTTCAATTATTGTTTAAATGTGTCTCAGCATTAATAATGTAACATTAGACTATATCATCTTGTTCAAAAGAGTTCGCAAAATACCGCTGTGTGTGCTAGAGTTCTATTACTAATACTAGTAAAGCATAAAACGTGTTCAAGTATGTCAATACGCGTTTCAAGTCGTTTTTCTCAAAAATTGCTCGTATAAATCGCGAAAAATGTATACGGTCGTAGCGGTCATCATAGCGTAAAGGAAGCATAAGCATCGCGGCCTTTGTGTCCTCTTTTATTAAAGTTTCGAAGTAGTGCCGACGGATAATTAAATGAACGAATAATCAACGGATAATTTCAATAAATTCCGACAATATAAGCATCTTGACTTATGTAAATGCTTGCAGATCAACTTCTTGGAAGAGATGCAATACGTGTTCAAGTGGGCTAACATTAGCATAACCGCGGACGAACCGATTGTGGCGTACAACCCGGTATTCCTTCATAAATTGGCGAGGCTACTTGGAAACACTTCGCAACGTGTGCTTGGTAATGCCGTGATTACACAAATTTTACGGCTAATGGTAATTTCCGTTCACCATTGGCGGTCATTGTTTTCCTGTCGGAGCCCGAATAATTACGTGACGACCATGACAGTTTCATATTTTCCCCCGAATGCTCGCTGACAATGTACCTCCGTCTTGCATAATCTTTATTTTTTTGTAGTGAACTACGTCCAGTGGAACATGGTCAACAAATTCTTATCGTACACCACGCAAGAGATGAGGAGCATTGCCTTCAATATGTCCTATTCGTCGTACAATATTTCGAACTATATGCCAAGGTACAGTATTATATGGGGGGGGGGGGGAGGCATTTGAAACAAGATACCTGAATAACTCGCTTGTATTTGTGAATAGGAAAGGAAGCGTTAAACAAAAATTGTTCGATTTCAAGGGGCACATNGGGGGGGGGGGGGGGGAGGCATTTGAAACAAGATACCTGAATAACTCGCTTGTATTTGTGAATAGGAAAGGAAGCGTTAAACAAAAATTGTTCGATTTCAAGGGGCACATTATATGGTGACAATAATTTTTGTATAGGTAAAGGCGCAGAGGACACGCGAAGGTCAAACTTGTTTTTTAAAATAGGATGACCTAATTTTTTATTCACATCCCGATGGAGGATTTAATCACGAATGAAATGAAAAATTTATTAAAACTTACTTGAACGCATGGTTGAAAGCTAATTAGCTCGTGAGGTACTTTCGAATGTTTTTTGTCCAAAAATTGTTCTTTTTCTATGGAGTCACTTGAACAATGCTCGCGCACTTCAAATTCTGTAGAAACCGTAAAAGAACAAAGCGTTACTCCTTTTTTGCCTAGAATAAGTAATAGCTTTCATAAATGTAAATAGAGGAAAGGTTTAGACATAAAGAAATCAAATGTTGCTCGTAAATTGCAAAACTCAGTCCACACAATCGATTAGAAATAATAACTATACTTAGCTGGGTTAGCTATCCTTAGTTGGGTTTCACAAAATTGAATGATGCCAGAAATTTATCCTTATGGAAATTTATTTAAATGTCTATACTTTTTTAATAAGTATCAAGATCAATCATTGCATAATTCCTAAATGTTCCACTCTCTGTTATTCTCACTTCAAATTCAAGCTACACGTATCATTTTACAGAATAGAAATTAGTTTAGAAATTGAACGAAGCAAAAACAATATTTTTGTTTTCGTATGATATTTCCAATGCTGTTGATCTAATGCAATATACGATCATTTCGAATATATTTCTTCTAGGTGGGAAGTCTGCATAATCAATATGCAAATGCAAAATGCGGTGTCGTATTTATTTGTGAAAAAGTACATTACAAACAGCGTCATCGACAAGGTACAGTTCAATGAATATTTAATTATCATAATTTAATAATAATTTAATTATCATAAATATTTAATGCTAACATGTACATGTTGTTGCTTTGTCCAAGCTGAAGGAAATGGTTCTCCGAATAAGAGAGGAGTTAGGTGATCGCATAATGCGTGCTCGTTGGCTGTCGGAATCGGTGAAGAACTCTCTTCACCGCAAATTATACTCGGTTGTAACACAAATCGGTTATCCGGAATGGTATAAGGACGATCAAGCCGTAATTGAATTTTACGAAGGGGTACCGAAACTTTGTTAAAATACAAAAAAATTAAGATAACTGTAACAACCATTGCAAATACTTCTTCGAATTTTCCACAGCTGAAAATAAGTACCGACTATTTTCAAAATCTGTTAAATTGCGCCGCACACGAATTAATAAGGGGTCTAAAAGAATTTAGAGGGATCGTCGTTAGAACCGAGTGAGTTTTTAAAATATTCATAGTCATCGTTAGATTGTGGATTTTATGCACTTATGACCTACTATGTGAAACCGTTGCATCATTTTCAACCGGAAAGAGAAAAATAATGTTCTATTTAATTACAATTTCTTCCAGTTAACGCAGACAATTTTTATTTCGTATGAGATAAAATATAAAACATAAAAATAAAATTTTATTTTACAAGAAATAAAAATATGAAACGTAGTATATGAAACGTTCTGACTCTCTTTAATAATTCTAATAGATTAAGAATAATTCAGTGACATTTAAGAATTTTTTAAATATTTTTACTCTAGTTCAAATTGCAACCACTCAATTTTGCCAGAAATGCATAAAATCCGTAATAAAAAAAGGAATAAAAGCATTAGAATTTGTTTCGCATTGCTTCTTCCACCGACGACATGTAATTATATATTTCAGATGGATGGATTATCCTATAACTGTGAATGCATTTTATACCCAAACACTTAACGCAATCAGTGAGTGTCCTTATAAGATAAAAAAGAATTTTTATTAAACCTATCACGAGATCTAAATTACGAAGCATTATTTTTATTTTCTTAGTTATACCAGCAGCCGAAGTGCAGGAACCTTATTTCACACCACTTTTACCGGAGTAAGTTTCACTATTTATTATTAGTATTAATGATCTGTATTTATTTCGTATTAGTATTAATGATCTGTATTTATTTCGTATTAGTATTAATGATCTGTATTTCTTCAGCGCGATCAATTATGCAGCCACTGGTTTCGTTATCGGCCACGAGTTGTCCCATAGTTTCGATAACGAAGGTACGACTTTATTATACATTTTTTTCTTTGTAGAAATAATTTATGCATCAACTGAATTGTTTATTTTACTCAGGAATAAAATTTGATGTGGATGGCTATAAGTCCGGCTGGATTTCACAGGATGTTATGGATGAATACGAGGAACGTGCAACATGCTTTGTAAATCAATTTAGTAATTACACTCTCAATGTCACAGATGAAGAGGGAAACTACTTGCAGGTAACACTGATTTCACGTTCAGGCCTTGAAAAAGTTGACGCTCAGAAGAATTTGAATATATTTGTACACTCTTCAGAATGTGTTCTTTACAACTGATTCAGAAAATTTCTATTTTCCATAAACGTTTCACGGTCCAGTCGTGAATAAATTACATCGTGTAATAACTTACTGCATGCACAACTTTATAACTAATGTAATTGTAGAGGAAAACATTGCGGATGGATTCGCTTTCGTTCCTTCGGCGTTAATTGATACAGAGTAACTTATTTAACAATTTTCGAATTTGAAAATATGTATAAACGGTAATTTCCAAAACGAAAGCACATTAACAAAACTTTATCACCGTCAGCTGGACGGTGAGCTTACAGAGAATGAAAATTTGGCAGACTCGGTAGGCGCTCACGTAGCTTACTCAGCCTACAAGAGACTGGCAGAACACAAATCGGAAATGAAACTACCCGGATTAGAACATTTAACCGACGACCAATTATTCTTTTTAGAATTCGCAAACGTAAGTTACACTAAAACTT